GATAACCACGCCGCGGCTTGATCATGCGTATAGTTTGCTGTTAATGACATGTATGTTGTAGCTATCGCCCGCTATGTCAGTCAATCGTTACTTTGGAGATGGTGTCGGTGGGTCGTCGAGTTGCACTCATAATACCCCCCTCCCCGACACTCCCCCAAACGGACCAGGGCCGAAGCCCCAGACCGTGCGGAAGAGCGCCGGAAACTTCCCTCCTGGCCTGAGGGACGTTCGGCAGACCGAGGGCGCTGCGTTTAAAGCGTCCGTAGTCCACTCTCCTATGGGTCAGGACGGCTTTACTTCCTCTCCGGGGAGGTGGTGTTGCGTTACCATTCCCCACCGCCCAGGGAGCTGTCCAGTCGGGACGTAGCGGGGACGAAACGGTTGCCTAGGGGCGGCTTTCTCAGGGCCACGTCTTTTTAATCATTGACAAGAGTTTGGGCGGGCACCCATTGTCTCATACCCATCAACGGCAACAAGTAATCATGTTAGCGCTCAACTTCCGTTGCGTTGGAAGTCATGCGTTTTGCCTGGGATCTTTTAGCTTCAGAAGGAAAACTCCCCCCCCCCCTTACTAGTTGGGCACACCACGAAGAGGCAAGATCCCGTGTAACACCACCGAGAGGCTTGTGATGCTGGGCAACAGCCTCACGGAGCTCAGCTGCTGCCCGCCCGATGTCAGTCAAAACGCCCGACTGTTATATTTTTCTTAAGCCCCATCCCCATACCACTACTACCACACATACAACCGGCCAAGGGAACTGTCGAAGTCATGCACTGACCCCATTATGTAAATGACACCACCCCCCCCCCCCCATCTGACCGTTAAGATCGGCGAGTACCCCGTCTTCGAAACCGCCCATCGTCCAGAAACAAGTGGGTAATGTTGGGATGGGTGAGGGGGGGGACAAGGGGCCAATCGATCGAAGCTAGCACACTCTCACCAGTTTGGGGGGGGGGGGCGACACAAGAGGAAGCAATCCCGTGCACTTGAAGTCGATGTCACAATCCAAGCTCAGGAGATCATTTGTCGGGATGTTGATCAAAAGCATGTATTGACAGATGTATTGTTTATTGCCTGATGAAATCTTTGAAACATCCTTTATTGTATGTTTAATTGTAACCTTTCCCAGGACATGCTACCCATCAGTATAAAGATATCCTTTGAATGGCGTATTCAAGTTGTAAAAGCTATTAAGATAGTCAGATACTTCCGAAATTGTGTTGTGCAGTCAAGGCTTATTAAGAGTGCCATATCCACCCCCCTCCTTTTTTTTTTGTTGAAACTATTTCATCGGATCTCAGGGGGGTGGGGGGTGCGCTTAAGTTAAAAGTGACACCATATTAGGGGATGTGTTCAACTTAACAGTGTCGAGGCCATGGCTTAGAGTTTAGTTGATTGACTTGCATTCTTCTCCACGCTTGATAGACTTGCATTCTTCTCCACGCAAGCTTGGCCTACTGAGAATGCACCCGCCTGTTAGATTGCCTTGAAATTGACACATGCGGTTTAGCTTGAAGCTGTCTCTTCCTGCTGATTACTTCCAATCACCTTCGTCCAAAGCATGTTAGTTGATGATCGTAGAATGTATGTTGGAACATTATTTCTATACATGTTTTTGATGACTTAAAAAAAAAAAAAAAAAAAAAAAAAAAAATTTTTTTTTTTTTTTTTTTTTTTTTTTTTTTTTTTTTTTTTTTTTTTTTTTTTTTTTTTTTTTTGGCCCATTTAAAAATACAACTAAATAGTTTATGTCATGCTCATTTCATTGCAAATAAATGACCCACCGCGAAAACAATGATGATTCAGACACTGTGTCCAAGAGAAAAAGTGGAGCCTTTTGATAATGCTTGCTGGAGAGCTTGTCTCTGAAGCCTGTGTTGAAGCTAATGGTGAACACTTCAAACACGAAACAGAATTCGATTAACATGTCAACATTATGACAGAATTAAAATTATTTTTTTTCCAACTTTTAAAAAGTGATACATTTTTTATTATTAGTTTTTCATCATGATAAAAATAGGTCCCTTTCTTCCGGACACAGTGTATATATCTGTGTTCGTCTGGGAATGGCATTCAACTGCATTTATCTTTCTTTGGCATAACGCGCCCGAAAGTTATGGGATATATCCTTATGTTGGTACTAAGAAATTGTTTTAGATAATGTCTTCTTTTGATAACAAGCGCCATGCAACCCCAGCGTTTGAGAATTTTTTATTTTTTTTTCACGCCATGCGCACCAAAACCTGAAGAAAGCATGAACGGAAATTTCCACTCTGCTTCCGGCAATCTGTTCCCTCATTTCGTGGTGGGCCATCATGATACAATGCTATGTTATTTGATGTTTGCTCCCTCTCGCATGCGAGTTTATTATTTTCTTTCTTTTTTTCCCCCCCCCCTATCACTTCTGTTTCGTTCCCGAAACACAATAGAAAACTTGCCTGACATGCCAGCCATCTGTCCACCGCTATGTCATCATGTGACCATTTTACCCAGAATGCTTGGCGGCCTGACCTCTGCTCCACGTGCCAGCGAGCCAAGTCTGAACACGAGGGCACCGCAGGTCCGAGGTCGTCGTGGCGCAGGAGGAGTGAGCCCAACCCCAACAACGCTATAACCGGGGTTCGGATCTCGGCGCTCGCGAGCAAGTTCCAAGGGAGAGAAGCCCGAAGCGGGAGTATACCGGAAGATGATTTGCAAAGGGCAAGAACTCTAGGTACTGCCAATACTAACAAAATTATTAACCCATGGTCATTTAAAGCAATGTTTTTGAAGAATACATGAGGAATTATATAATATGTAATGTGTACAGTACTTAAACCCACATACAGGCAAAAAGGGACGGGGGAGAAGTGGGGGGGGGGGGGGTTATAGGGCAGGGGCGCTCAACGTTCCTAATGCCGCAACTCTTTAATACAGTTCCCCATGTTGTGGTGACCCCCAAATTTAAAATTATTTTCGTTGCTCCTTTATAAATATGTGTTTTCAATAAAAATGTTATGTATATATATATATATATATATATATATATAGACTATAGAGTATGGAATAATTACTTCGTAGTGATGTTGTCACTAAGCTGAAATTAATACTTTTAAAAATAATTATTTGGTTTGGAACTATCGGATAGTGCATACATCTCTGAGTTAGTGCATCTTGATGTCTCTTAGGCTCTGCTTGTTTCCTTCCACAATTGCTGTTTATGTTAGTTGCTTGTCCACTTATTTCTCTCACCTCACATAGTAGGCTCATTGACAGAGCTTCTTCCACCCCCATCTTTAGGACTCCTGTTCTATTATTTATTTTTATTTGGATTTAAGTTGTGGTTGGCATCAGTGGTTCCTTTTGCACCTTCTGAGTTCTATGTAATTATTTTATTACTATTTTTGAAAATAATTTTTTAAATATTTTTTTTACATTTCTTTATTATGTTTATGTTATGGAATTTTTTTTCTTTTTTTTATCTCATTATTTATTTTCTTCACATTTATGTCCTGCATTTATCTAGGTCTGTGATTGTCCTTTTAATATCTTTTTAAAAGAAATTAAAATAAAATAAATAATTTTCTATCTTTTAATTTAAATCCCAAACATATCTAATTTTGTGTTTTATATTTGTTTTTTTTTGTTTTTTAAATAAATGAGTACACTATGATTTCATAAGTCATAGGTTTGTAAGGGGAAAAAATGACATGACAAAGAAGACTTGACTTAATCTTTCTCAGATCGAAAATACACAAAATCCAAACCTGGCGAGAAAAAACTCAACGCCTCTCGATCCACGGAACTTTTGGACTCGACCTCATCAGCTGCTCTTTCTCTGGCTGAGACATCAGCCCCTGTGAGCACGTCCCCAGCTCCGGGCCCCACCAGCCAGATCAAATCGTCCCCCAGCGTTGTGAAGAATCAGGTGACCGTCCTGTCAAAGGAAACCGCCGGCGCAGCTTCGACTACTTCAGGTGGGCTCCAACAGCACTGCGTCAATAGGATAGCTGTTTTAATTTATCTTTTTATCTTTTATGAACATTTTTGTTGTTGCAATTTATTGAAATTGAAATATAATCATTTGTTTAAAAATTTTGTGAACTGTAAATTTGTAGGATAAATTCTTGAGTGTTTATATATATATATATATATATATATTGTTTTATTACTATATTCCATGAAATTGGCTAATTATTGCTCTTAAAAAAGTTATTTTTAAATATATATTTTTGAAATTAATTTATTGCTTTAAATCAGCTAATTATCGCTCTAAAAAGTTATTTTTAAATTTATAATATACAGCTTGAAATGGGCTAATTATTGCTTTAAAAAAGTTCCCTTTAAATATTTTTTATTTTTAATAAATATAAATCACTTGAAATCGGCTAATTATTGCTCCAAAGTTCAGCAAAGTTTAATGATTTGAGTATTATAATTATGATATTTGTTGCTTATTTTTTAGAATGTATATATTTATTAACAAATCTTTCAATGTGTTTCTTATCCAGCATCTGGAGCTGTCAAATATATTGCTTCAGAGGGTAATAAAATCATCACCACACAGCCACTACCTTCATCTAAGCTCAAAACATCTCCAACCATCAACAACCAAACAACTTCCAAGAAAATAACAGTACAGCCGCAAAACAATGTAGACAGCACAGCCTCTGCACCGGCCACCAAAACCGCCACCGTGGTGTCCAGGCACACTCCGGCGGCTAAAGCAGCTGACAAGTCTGCGACCTCTTCTTCTTCATCGGCTGCCACATCTTCTAAACCTGTCAAATCAGACCCATCATTCACTTCATCTGTTCTCAAATCCGGCAAGTCAGAAGAGAACGGGCTTGTGAAAAGCAGGCAGCCCAAGACAAAGCAGAGAAAAGTCAGTATACCCGATGCTGAACCAGAGGTCATAGGAAACGATGGGGGGCTAGATAACCTGTACCCAGAGGAGGAGGTCACTGCTGGCAGTGAGGACACTGATAACATTTACCTGTCTCTGACTGATGAAGAGAAGCAGTTTGCTCTGCTGGCTCTTGGGAACACTGTTTGGAACTCAGACACACGCAATTTACAGGTGGGCTTTGTGCAAGATATGACTTAAATAAGATAAGCTGTGCTTTAAATAGAATAAGCTGTGCTTTAAATAGGATAAGCTGTGCTTTAAATAGGATAAGCTGTTCTTTAAATAGGATAAGCTGTGCTTTAAATAGGATAAGCTGTTCTTTAAATAGGATAAGCTGTGCTTTCAATAGGATGAGTCAATAGCTAATTGATTATACAATGAATGAGACCTGCCCAGTAGTGATAAGATCATTGCAACAACTCTATTGTTGACCACTCATTGCACTGCCTACCAAAGTTGACTTGGCAGAAAAGCTTCTGAGCTGGAGATTATTTTGTATGCAAAATGTGCCCTGTACATTTGTACAAGCCACAATAATATACAGTCTTAATCTGTGCAGGGGTTATAGGTTTGTTTTTTATTTGTAAAAACTCTATTAAAGTCTTTTATTAAAAAATGTTTATCCTCTTTGAATACTTTGGTTTTTGCTCAAAATTGCCTTTGACCACCTACACCGACTTTTGTTTGTGGTCAATATTTCCTTTGACCACCTGCGCCATATTAACTGTCAGCGTCAAAAACCCATCTGTCAGGTGAAGCCTAAACCCTTAGTACTCTTTAGAAATGACCATTGACCTATGTAAGATGATACCAACAAATGACCACTGTCGAAGCACAGAGACTGAGAGATACATTGTGAACTGGGAACACTTAAGTTTTTCAATTTAAAAGAAAAGTGTTTTTCTTGTTAAGTCTTGTCTGCTGAAGTAGGCATTTCTTGTCTGCCGAAGTAGGCATTTCTTGTCTGCCGAAGTAGGCATTCAGCCGAGATGTCCTTTCAGGTGTCCTAATCTTTTTTATTTTTCAAGCCTTAACATACCTTGTTCCACTATTTATTTACATTCACATGTCTTGAACCCAGTTCCCCAAGTTCAAAAATATTATTAAAAAAAAACATTGTTTTGAGCAAACATTTTAATCTACACGTTTACACGTTGCTTTTTGCACAGCAGTTTTGGAGATAATGTCTTTGGTAAAATTATTTTCATATTGTTATCCATGGTTTCATTTGATTTAAAGACTGGGTGCTTAAGTAAGAGTTGTTCTGAGTGTTTTTTTAAAAATTGTTTTCTTCAAAGACACCTAATAAATCTGTCAGTGTCATAAACATTATCCTTATAGTACTTACTGAGTTGCACTGACTACATAATTTTCCATTATTTAAATTTTTTTTTTAATGAATATTACTAAAGGTTGAGACCGAGGCCACTAAAAGAGCATGCAGAGAGTTTGAAGACATTGCGGGCAATGAATTGTGGGCCAAAGGAAGGTTCCAGTCTCTAGTGGACTGTGATGCCATCAAGCGTGGAAACGTTTTCGGGACTTTTCCGAAAATCAGCGGGGCCAAACAGTCCAAAGCTCCCATCGAAAACTTGAAATTTAAGAGCGAACTCGGTAGGGGCGGTGGACAGTCCGAGAGCTTGAGGTCTGTCCGCATGGCGGATGACTCTGGTGAGATTGGTAAGAAGAAAGGCATGACATTAAATAATGGGCAAACCAGGACAGCAGGCAGTTCCAACTTGGAGAGGCTGAAGTCTTCTGGGACTTCGGGAATACCAGGGAATTCATCGATGACATCGCTGATTTCTGATGGGGACTGGAAAGTGAACTATGGATCTAGCTCAGGTAGTGGAGATTCAGGAGTAGAGATGGGTCCCGGTTGTGGTGCTGGGGGAGATTCAAAGGATCGGCTCTATCCCGACGACATGAGAGATAATTTGTACGAGTCTCCCGATGATGTCATTGCTGGGAAATCTTCTTTGGACAACAGCAGCAATCCACAAGTCAAATCAAGGATTGCATCCACTGATGGGAAATCAGGCTCTAACAAAATCTCCAATCAAAAAGATGGCCTGTCTTTAGCCCAGAGCTCTAGTCTAGAGTCTGATGATGTGAGAAGCTTTGAGCTGTCCCTTAATGACAGCTCAACTCTGGACAGCTTCCAGGCCATTTCCTTGCTCAATGATGTCCTAAGAGACTATGGTGATTTCAATGAATCTTCTACTGATGATGCTGATTACAAAGAGACGAAAAAAGACTCTTTGAAGGGTAAAAAATCCTCAGACTTTGAGGCCCGGATGGCATCTGTTGCCGCCACTCTAGACTTGACCAAACAGCAGAGAGTCAAACGACAAGCTCCCAGGCCACCTGTCTCCCCACCACCTGAACCAAACCTTGCTCAAGCCATCTCTCCCAAGAAGGTGACCAACCAGCCTGAACCGGTCTTCAAGATGGTCACAGTCGGGAAGAGCATTGTGACATTACCACCACAACAAGACATTCCAAAAGAGTCCAAGCCGTCACAGGCACCGTTGGGGCTTGAAGACTTTGTGCTGGCCGGCGATAGCAATGATTCAGTCAACAACAAAACGAATGGGGATTCTAAAGGTAAGAAAGGCATCACGTCTTTTTTTCGTAATATTCTTCGTCGGGGCAAGGAGTCATCAGAAAGTTTTGAATCCATGAACCCAGATGTCCAGCTGGTGGCCAAGTTGGAGAGAAAAGACTCGTCCAGCACTCCACCGGGCGGAGGGAGTCTGGATAACCCAGAGGAGGACCTCTCCTCGTCCGTTGATAAAAAATTAGGACCAAAACTTTTACAACCGTCAGGGTTCTTAGTCATTCCACCAGGATCGCAGAATTCACCGCAACATAAAGGGGACACAACCCCTGGCAGTACAACTGGTAGCATGTTTTCAAAGTCTTCATCATTTTCTTCCAAGCCGCCACAGAGTTCTGACTCTGATATTCACCAGTCTTCTATTACCACCACCGCATCATGTTCTTCGGCTGCTGCTTCGGGAACAACAACACCTGTCAGTGCCAGCCCTCCAACACAGAGGAAGAAAGGGCTGGCCAGCCCAAAGATGATGCTGAAGAAAGCCACAGCTAAATTTTCACCGCCCGCCTCCAGGCATCCGTCGAAAGTTGTAGAGAAAGATATTGTGGATGCGTTATCAAATGTACCGAAGCCGTATCTGGCGCCGAAACCAAGTGTCCCTCCTCCAACAAAACCACCAACAACTACAGCAACTCCGTCTTTCTCTGCATCATCACCACAGGTGACAACAGCACAAAGTGTGGGAAAGGAAGCGGTCGCGAAAGAAAAGGATGTGACGACGGCTCCCAATGTAGTCAAGAGGCGTCCTAAAAGTCCGAAACGGATGGCTCCACCTGTTCCGCCTTCAAGAACTTCTGTCGCTTCAGGTAATTATGATCTCTAAAATTATTGTTTTAGTCTGAATCAACATAAAAGTAGAAAACATTTTATCATCATCTTGTAGTTCACATTATTGGGGCATAAGCCTTCAAGGTCCTTTGGCTTCCCCACCCCTTCTTGGCCCTTGAGGATTCCTCACCACCTGCTAACCGGGGCTTGAGATTGTTTCCCCAAAATGCTTTTCAAGTTCTTTTCCTGTTAAATGTGTAATTCTTATACTGTTAAAGTGCTTATAATTAGCCTCACTTGTACATCAATCTGCCCAGCAATGAGATGTCAAAGTCTTGTATAAAAAATGTTGGTACATGAAGTTATTTTGTTAGGTTTCATCTAAAAACTTCTCAGCTTTGTTTGTTTAGAATTGAAGCTCCATACATTTTAAGCATGCTGAACGTTATGCTTGCATTCTCAGTTGTTTCTTTTTTTGTTTGATGATGATGGCTTGCAGGAATACAATGTTTGGTGCTCAGTGATGACACACAGGATTCAACCTACAGCAAATTGTGTTAGTTCTTTATCAATGACCATCATTCCTATTCCCATGTTTTTTTTTATTTTTATATAACCAGTGGCCTGTAGCAAGCATGGTCAAACCTGAATTCAGAACCCTTCATCCATATAAAAAATATTTATTAATACACAGATTTTGCATGAAAAAAAAAGTTTTGGTGTCCTCTGGAGATGGGGCTTGGGGCTAGTGCTCCCCCCCCCCCCACTTCTTATTTTTTCCTCCGCTTCGCACAGCCCTGCATAATGCCTCATATAAATATCAATGTAAATACCTATCAGAAATATTAAAAATCTTGGTGCGAACAAAGTCTTGAACTTCACCATGTGTGACTCAATTTAACTTTACTGTGCATCTACCCAGCTAAACCCGGCCCAACAACAGACCCAAAGAACCAAGACTTGGCAAGAGAGCTGGAGTGGAGACTCAGCAAAGCTACCACTGACCAATCGGGTTTGTAGTTCATGAATCAATGTTAAAGCATTTCTGTTAGGCTTTGGGGATGTAGCAAGAGTGAGAGCGACCAGGGGCAGGCCAAGCTTTTAGCTGCCACTTCTGCAAAAAAGGTTTCTGCCCGACCGAACCGCACCCCGCTTCCTATACTACTGATTAGATTATCCAAGTCCTTGACATAGTTTTTTACTCTTCCATTCATTTTGAAAGCCCTGTGTAGTGTTCATGGCGTATTAATGGTTGGGAAGCCAAAACGTATCCGTCATATCTTCAGAGCACCATTTTTCCCATCCACAGCTACTAATATAATAACTACTTACCACTTGTTTGACTTCCGCTTGAGAGGTTATCTATGCATTATGTTTACTGAGGGAGCATTGGTGATGGTCAGATTAGTAGAATTTGCATATCTGTTCAATGTGGAGGAGGTTATTGAAGTTTTATAGCCTAACCATGGTCCACAATCATGTCAGCTACAGAAGAAAACCAACCCTTGAACCCTAACCCTAACCATGGTCCACATTCATCTCAGCTACAGAAGAAAACCAACCCTTGAACCCTAACCCTAACCATGGTCCACAATCATCTCAGCTACAGAAGAAAACCAACCCTTCAACCCTAATTTTTTTTAAAAGTAGACTTGTAAAAAAAAAAAAATCTTTTCAACATAAATTTTTTATCACAACAATCACCTTGGATTTGTAAATTATTCACTTACATTGTCACAAAATGTTTGGATTACACAGATAAAATGTTGACTGATTGTCAAGGAAAGATAAACTTTGCAAAAAAAAAGTGCACCCGTCTTCTTTTTTTTTCATCTTTCTTTGACATTGACTGTTGTTTTTGAAAACTTTAGGGAATTTCGCCAAATTTAACTTTGAAGCTTGTCTAGCTCCAGCCAGTGAGAACACAATTATTTTTTATTAGTGGGTCAAGTTTGTTTGAAACATAACAATACACAATGTTCTTACCTTTTCTCTTAGCCAAAAGTTGTAATTATGTTGGACTGTAAGGGGCTTCCACCAATGAAATACCTCTCATTCATTTCATTTCTAAAAAAAAATATAAAAGAAATATAATTGAATATATATACTTATCTATCTATCTATATATGTATATATAAATATATATGAGATATCATTAATTCAGATCTTATTCTTTTATGGTTGATTTATTTTTTAAAAGTTTTGAATCTATTTTTTTTTTTTGGTAGTTTGAACATATGTTTTGTGCAGTTCTTTTAAAGAGGCTTTTATGCTAGTGAACTACTTTTATTGCAAACAAAATATTTAGAGAAGGTTTCCATTATGCGGTCGCTGTAATTTTAATGTGAATTGTTAAACAGAAGGTTGATAACTGTTTCAAAGCATGCTCCTCCAAGCATGGCAGTGGTTCTCTACTTTTTCATGATACAACCACTTGCAGCTGAATATGTCATATCTCAACATATCAATATGATATAACAATATATCAATAATTAAAATGTCAAACAAAAGTGTTAAATATTTGAATTTTGCAGGTTTTTTTTAATTACCAAACATGTATATACGTACCCTGTAAGTTTGTATACTTATGTGTGGTAAATGTGTATGCATAATGTCTTGCGTTAAAAAATTGTTCATCGTCACCTTCAGGTACAGGAACTTTGACCAGATCAGAGAACAGGGAATCGACTCGTAGATCTATGCCAGTACCACCCTCCCCACCCGGGGACCGCAAGGATAGACCACCAGGGGGACAGTCACCGCCCATCTCTCCCATACGTGAGACAGAGAACTCACTTCCCTCCTCGCCTTCGTCACCAACCAGCACTTCCTTTGATTTTGTCACCACCGAGTGGTCTGGTGGGTCCACGTCCACCATTGAAGAGGAGCTTCCAAAATTTACAGAGAAAATTGAACTACCGACCGTCGCCAACCCGGGGAGGAAGGGGTTTCTGGGAAAGTTGGGAGGGAATAGGAAGAACCGGGCGCCGCAACCGCCGTCCGTTAAAAGGGCAAAGTCCATCACAGAGTCATCTACCTTGCCGAGGGGGGATAAGAAAAGCAAGAAAATTAACGTAGCGGACATTTCTGGACCTGTGGTACGTAACAAATTTCTAAATCAGTCATTGGGTGATAGAATGTGGTGTCATCTGCAACAAGTCTATATGCCGAGTTTAGATCGATTGCTTAACGGGAAGTGGGTCAATTAGCCTTCCGAAGATTTTTCCACCCAGCCAGCCACAAACAAAAGTGAAGTTAATATAAAGGATTTTTTTTTTTTAATTCTGAATTTAATATTTAAGGAAATTATTTAAAGTCAAAACTACTCAATTCCTTCTAAAAATGTTGAGCACACGTGTAAATTTGCATTATTGTGTTTGAATGTTTCAGTTGGTCACAGACATTACAAACGTCAGGGTCTTGGAGAACAGAAGAAACACAATTTCACTGGGGGATGAGCCTGCCTTTCACACAGGTAAGCCATGTGTGGGGGATTTCCCCTTGGGAATGATGACAACAGTTCCATCACTAAATGTTTGTCATATTTGAAACTGAATATCCCTTGATCATGTTTATCATGTGCAAACATGATGAGACACACGGGCATCACTTGCGTTGCCACACAGCATTTTAAAGTCAGATCTCCCCCCTGTTGCAATGTTCATGTTAGGGAAAAAGGCCTGAGTAAAAAAAAAATGTCAATCTCCAAAGTTTGTAGACCAACTACCAACTTGACACGGCATTGCATATCAGCTGTCTTCTTTAGTTTGGGCTGCCAGAATTTTACAAATCTGGAACATTAAACAACATGATAATATTGTCATTTTGTTAGAACTGTTTTTATAATAAGTTAAATGTATATTTTATTTTCTTGAATTTACATTTTATTTTCTTGTGCAACCCCCCCCCCCTCTTTTTCAAATATATATACTTTTTTTTAACGATTATATCAAACTTTATTTCAATTTATATGTTATTTTCAGTAACAATTTCTTTAGTTTGGGCTGCCAAAATTTTACAAATCTGGAACATTAAACAACATGATAATATTGTCATTTTGTTAAAACTGTTTTTATAATAAGTTAAATGTATATTTTATTTTCTTGAATTTACATTTTATTTTCTTGTGCAACCCCCCCCCCCCTCTTTTTCAAATATATATACTTTTTTTTAACGATTATATCAAACTTTATTTCAATTTATATGTTATTTTCAGTAACAATTCCAACTGGGACCCATGGTCCTGCCACATCCAACGCCTCAGTAGACAAAAGTGGTTTTGATGAATTTGACTTCCCCGTTCTGTCCCCACTGGGTTCCCTTGAAAACCTCTATGAGTCCATCCTACCCAAGCCAGAAGGGAACATGTTCCACTACTATGACCCCCCAACGAGTCCCAAAGTTCTGTGTCCCAACATCCCGGCTGACGGCTACCTTGAACCTGTCCCGCCTCTGTCAACCACAGGGGTGGCCCCTCCACTGACAGCTGGGTCAGCCGCTGCCGGATTATTATCCACATCTATAACAACGAACCCTTCCAAGTCTCCATTGAAGGCCAAGGGATCCTTGTCCAAGTATGACCGTTCAACACCTGGGTTCACAACAAAGGAATCGTCCAGCAGCGGTCACTCGACTTCAACCAGCTCAAGTGAGGCGAACTCCGCGGAGAATTCTGGAAACTCCTTACCAGACCAATCTTCTTCTAACGGCTTGGGCCCTAATTTCATTGAGCCTGAAATGACAGAACAGAGGAAGATTCTTCTGGCATCTCAGCCAATCTATGAAGAGATTCCAAACGGAAATAATGAGGAGGAGGAAGTTGATAACAATGCAGAACAGAAGGCACAGGACGCCAGGTTTAAGAAATCTGCTGGTTTGAAAGAAGGCCTGGCCAGAAAGCCCAGCAATTCTGAGGCCATCTCCAACATGCAGAAAGTCATGTTGCCGGGCATGGGGTCAGGGGGGGAGCTGACCAAATCCCAGATAGCACATGCCTGGCTGCAACAGCCTCACACTGTTGTCCCTCAACCGCCGCAGGTTCCTCCGCCTACCCCAGCATCATCGTCATCATCTTCGGCGTCATCATCTCTCACTGCGTCAGTTATAGGGGTCCTGCCCTCATCACCTTCACATGTCACACCAAAACACAACCAGGCCCCGACAACCCTACAGCTGTCATCCATGTCAGGCTCACAGATGTCAGTGTCATCCATCATGACTACGTCGCTCACATCCAGCATGCTTCCACCTCCCCCACCTCCTCCGGACCACCTACCAGCCCCACCCCCAACAGCCAGCCGGTCAGTATCCAGAGAGACAGTGTCATCCGAGTCAGACACCCAGTCCAACTGCAGCACATTGTCCAGGCCCAGGCCTGCACCGAGACGGAAACCGAAACGTCCAGATACTGGCGGATCAGACCAGTATGTCTCAATGAATAGACCCAATGCTCAGGTGCGTGCAGGATGTAGCTATCTTTTTAAAACTTTTACCATGTAATGAAATATTGCTTCAATTTTTCGGCCAGTTTTTTTTTATCATACAAATTAAAATCATCAGATTGGAATGGTTTTGAACTAATTACAATTATTTTTCTCTCCAAAACTTTAAATTTTACATGACACTTAATTCACTTATTTTACTAGGAAGCCATTAACAAAATGAGGACAATAACATTTCCAACAAATTATTTGTTGGCTTTTAAAACTATTTCCTCATTCTCTCTGTCTCTTTTGTTACTTTTTTAGCCACTGATATTTTAAGAGTTAAAAAATTGTTAACCACTTGTCCTGCAATCACACTAGAAGAAATCTCGTACAATGGAGTTGACATCTGTTCAGCAAGCGTCCGTAATTTTCCCTTCGCCCAGGTTTCGCTCCATGAAGAAAAGCTGCGAGATGTGTTTACAAAAATCACCAGCATCACCTTCCATGCCCTGCAAGATATCTATGCCCAGTGTGAGAAGATACTGTCCTCGGATAGGCTGGACATCCCCAACCCAAACTCCCTGAAGTGGGCAGACTTTGACATTTATGGGCAACCCTTGCATGCCTCTGGTCGGTGCATTGTCTACAATGCAAAGTTCAAAATGAACAGCTCAGCCTGTCAGGTTATGGTAAGATAAAGTGTTGGTGGTTTTTTTAAAATTATGTTTAGAACAATCTGAGAGGAAATAAACAATATGTTTAAGACAATGGTCAGAACAGAAAACAAGCTAAAATGTATGAGTGGTCAAATAGCCAATTGTCTTGTGTGCCCTAATCTTATGGGATATTTTTTTTAAAAGGCTGAAATTGGTAGCAGCCTCTGTGGGGGGGGGGGGAATCTAGTAATAGAATAAAACATGGCTTTTAATGATGCCAAATACAGAACAAATATATATGAAATAGTATATTAAGGTATTATTCCAATAGTGTCCAGTATTTGTTTGAATATCCTTAGATGTCAGCCATTGTTTTAATATCAGTATGAATCAATGTGACCAATTACATTATATTATCATCCTACATATTGGTGGGGGAAAAAAAAAAAAAAAGTGACAATAAAATGGTTAATTCTTGATTTCCATCATCATTGAACACATTGATTGATGTCTACATGTACATTTAATTTAATGCTCTAAAACAATGTTTTTGCTCCGCAGGTCCTCCACTCGCGTCCCGCCACAGAGAGATGCATCACAAGTCACCCAAGTCTGCTCAGGCCATCATCTGTGTTTGCCGACACCATTCCCTTCTCCTTCCTGACCCCAGACTTCATCAAAACGTCTCAGCTCTTGCAGAACTCAGTCTATGACTCTAGTCAAGCCAGGTGTTTTATAGCTGTCGGTAAGTTAAATTTGGCACCTTTCTTCAAATTCAAGAATGTGCAAAGCCTAAACTGAGATAATTTTGTCGGAAAGCAATACTCTTCAAATGTAATTTGTGTCCATAATCACTACTGCAATGTAAATGAAAAGACGTAATTAGACTTCACCCAGAACACGATCCATACACAACTTGTAAAATGATGTCTCACAACCTGTCTGTTGATTATCCCCTGCAGGAGCTTTCGACATTGTCGAGAGCCTGGACTCTCACCTGGCTTTGTTGAGAGAGACCCTTGCCTTGGACCCCAATGCTTATGTCAATGTTATACTGACTGCTGCCCTACAGCTGCTCAGTGCAATGTCACATTGTCTGGACCAGGTCAGATTTTGGTTAAAATTTTACCTTTTTTCCTTTTACATTTGTTACATTTTCCTCCAACTAATATTAATTGAATTATACAAAAATATGACGGTGTTTTACCCCAATATTACAGCATTTTACACCAATATGACAGCATTTTACACCATTTAGTGCTGCTTGAATTACACCTATAGTGTTACAGTTCTATACTCTGTTTGATGCTAGTTGAATTATACCATTACCCTGACAGTGCCACACTCCCTCTCAGGGTGTTTGTTGTTACTTCAATGTAACAGTTGTATACCAATGGCTATTTACTGCTAAATGGTGCTTGATGCTAATTGCATTGTACAAATAGTACCACAGTGTCTGATCAATTACTCAATTTGTAAAGTAGCTTTGGTGGGGACTTTTAAACTGATGTTTGTCTGTTGGACGTGTTTAAAGTATATTTTTATGTGTGCAAGACATGCGAGCATTTAGTCTAATGCAAATATCCCCCCAAGGCCTGACAGTTCCTTCATGAGAACAAACTAAATTTCTATTGCGTTTTTCTTTTTAATCAGGGCTTTTCCGTGACCGAAACAGATTACAATGACGTCTTCCTCATCACAAGAACTGACCTGCGGGGAAAAGTAGTGGCATTCTTGCCCCATCAACGGTCACTCGATGTCCCCCAGGGGGAGGCCATGTGCAACTTTCTCGACCGCCTCCTCACCGATGCTATGCCTCGGCGTGAGGATGACGACGATGATGATTTGGACGGGGATGACTCTGATGATGATGACGAAGGAGGAGGAGAGAAAATTATTTCTTCCCCAAGAAAAGTTGTGGTCAAATTGAGGTCATTGCTGGAAGCAAGAAAAGTGGAATGCCTAGGTAAATATCATCACTTAATTCATTCACACTACACTGGACTTAATTGAATTAAAAGTGCTGGGGACGCTGCAAGATGAACTATCCTAGCCTAGAGGAACTACAGATCTGAGAGGATATATACTCATTCAGACCTGTTTACCCTCCAACTCTTAAAATCGTACAATATCATGACGAAATCGTTCAATACATTATCTGAATAGTAAAAAGATAAACATTAAATATATATAATGTATACACCTGAAAATCATACATTGTATGCCAAAATTGTAAGAGTAAACAGGTCTCCCCCTCGCAGTAACAAAATAACTTTTTAATTCTAAAATAGGTTATTGTTCTATTTTAGAGAATGATTTCAAACTGTCTTAGTTTTTCAGCTGAATAATTTATAAAAAAATTATGGGTCATTAAATGTTCTGAATATCTCAAAAGCAATGTATTCCAATAAAGTAAACAGTAAACTTTTTAACAAGCTTGTTACACCTAATTTACATTGATTCAAGTTTTATCAAAAAAATTTTTTTAAGAAATGGGAAATAGTTAATAAAGTTTACAAAATTTTTTTTTTGAGAAGACCTGCTTGACAAAAAATTATAATTTTTGGTATAATTTTTGGGGAGGGATGTTAACACAGATTTTTATGTTACGGCACTGGTAATTTTGACATCTTATACAATCTTCATTGTGCAGGGCATGTCAGAACAGCGGTTGAATACCTGTTGTGGGGACCTGCGACATCAGAACTGCCTCTGTCACCAGTAGGAACTGCTCCCAAGCCAGCCGTGGGAGTGGCCGGCGCTGGAGGAGGGGGTGGGGCCAGCCGTGAGCAGGAGCTCTACGTGTGGCTGGAAAAGGAGAGGGTGTTGACCGTCGGGAGACTGGCGCGCAATGTGTCAGGACTCGGGGCGGGTCTCAGTCTGGAAGAATTCTACACACTTAAGTTTCTCCTCAAGTCCAGCGCCGCCTGCCTAGCGGAGAGCTTGAGGCGGCTGGCCCGCTGAAATATTTCCATTTTGGACAAGTGTTTTGTTGTGTGTATGTCAACACTCTTTTTAAGAGTATTTACCAGTTCTAAAAAAATATGGACAAAGTAATTGAAAAAGAGAGTAGCTGATTTGTTTATTTTCCTGAGATAACTTATCAAACCTTAAAAAAAACTCATTGCTGTGTATGGCGAGATGATTCAATTTTAAACATTTTGATAGGTTGAATTGGTTGTTTACTCCAAAGTCTTGTCTTTGAATGTTCATATATACAAATCGTTATAGTTTTCAAAAATATTTCTGTTGGATCACAACCTAGCTTTAAAAAAAATTCAGCAGCTGGCATTTTTTAAAAATTTTTGATATTTTCCATGTTCCAAAAAAAAAAGGACCAACAAATCAGAAATCCAAATATAGCGATGAAGAGAAAGCCTGATATTCTTTAGCCCCTGACCAGTGTGAATGAATGGTTGGTAATAATCATTCATTTGTTAATTGTGATTACTTATGTAATAAATGGGTCACATGAAGTACTGTATTACATAAGAATGTAATTAATTACCATTTTCTTTTTAAACTAACAAAAACATGGCCGCTGGTCATGAACTAAGTGTTGTGAATCATCTTTGTCTCATTAACTGATGTGTTCAATTACACCCATGGAGCGTACACCTGTCAGTCTCATTTTTGCTACATTTTTTTCAAAATCATGTAATGGTTTGTTTTTTTTAAAAACAATTTTACACCTCAATTTTACACATTTTATTGGTAGCGGCAAATATGATTGCAAAAATTTTTAATTTTTTGTTTCCACATGTGTATGACATATTTTGTATTTTTATTGATGTTATTTTACAATGGTTGTAACAAAACAAATAATAATAATTATAAAATGGTTTGCATTCCCTGAAAAATCAGCGCACATCATAAAATTAAATGTTTATTTGATTGTCATCTCCAAAGACATTTACATTTTATTTTCTATCACCATGCAAACAAATAATTTTGAAAATAATTTTGAATTCTTTTCATTTGTAATACAAAAAAAAAATATTGAACACAATTTCTGAGATTTGTGTCAATTAAACAAAATGTTCTTAGTTTTAATAAAGTTAATGCGAGTTAGAACATGCGTGTGCAAAATTCCATCTCTTCATTATTATGTTTCCATCATCGTCGTCCCTATGAATTGTGTCATAAGTCCCCACGACTTGTTTTTTTTTAAAAACAAGCTCATCAGCATCTGCAATGCTCAACATCTGCATGGAAGCATGTGACCGCAACAGAGCAGTGTGCATTAGGATTTGCTCAGAACCAATTTTACTTAGACCAGCACTTGCTGATCTTTTTTTAACTATACAAATCTTGGGTTGATTCCCTACCCCCCCCCCCCCCCCCCCCCCCCCCAAGAAGTACCCAAAAACTTTAAATTGATCCGATCTATCCAAGTTTTTTTGTGACGTTTTTTTAATAGCTGACATTTTTCTGCACCTGTGTAATTATTATTATTATTAATTATTTTTTTATTTTTTTTGGGTGCTGGAGTTTCCAGTCTTCACGTACTTTTGCCACCTTACTCACTTGAAACTATTTGATTTGAATGATAAGATGTTTGGTTATATTTAGTGCTACACCACTCATTAACCCTTAGACCACATTTGCTTTAAATTTTCCTTATTGTACGTATAACAGTTTAGAGCGCTTGTTGCAAAATTCTGTGCAGAATTTTTTAAAGAAAGGGAATTTATACCTTTTTAAACAAAAATCTGTTCCTTTAACGTTTTTTTTTTTTTTCAAAAATCTGTTCCTTTAACGTTTTTTTTTTTTTTTGTTGAAGATTTTGATTTTTTGTTTTTGTTTTGTTAAGATCTATTCTATTAATTCTGAATTAGATCTATGCTTTGAGAACAGCAGCATAAATTAGTTTTTCTTAAAAATCCTTCTATCTCTATTGAAGAGTTAACTAAATGTTGACAATAAATTTAATTGCACTTCCATTTTTTTAAGAAGGGGCTTAGAGAGTTCGTTCAGTGAGCATCACACAATGACACTGCAGTATACAATGATTTTAAAGCTTCAATTGTTTACTGGAATTTTTTTTTTTATTGTTCCTAGATTTGTACAAAATTATAATACAAGAATATCTTTAATAAAAAAAGAAGGCTTTCCGTTTGAAAGTGTGTGTTGTGTGCTGTGTGATTTTGAGCCTCTGTTTGATATATCTGACTTTTTCAATGAAAAATCTGAAAGCTATTGTGATAATTAATTTATTCATTCTTTCACCGTAATTTTTAAAAAAAATGTTTATGTTCACTTCTTTCTCTGTGTTTGTATTTGCCATTGTTTTTATAATTTGAGATTTCACAAGCCAGTACGTAGGGGGACATTTCCCAAGCCAGTACACAGTACATAGGGGGACATTTCCCAAGCCAGTACATAGGGGGACATTTCCTTAGCAAGTATGTAGGGAGACATTTCCCAAGCCAGTACATAGGGAGACATTTCCCAAGCCATTACATAGGGGGACATTTCCCAAGCCAATCTGTAGGGGACATTTCCCAAGCCAGTACATAGGGGGACATTTCCCAAACCAGTAGGTAGTTGGACATTTCCCAAGCCAGTACATAGAGAAAAATATTAGATTGCAATGAAGAGAGGTGATTGATTAACCCTCTGCCTGATGTACCAGCTTTCAAAACTGGCACATTTGTGGTTGAGTGCTGAGATAACAGTGCTGCAAAGTCAGGTCTCCTTTTTGTACTGCTTGAGAGACACTCTTATCTTTATTTCACTTGTAAGTCCTTATGAACTTCTATTTCAGAGAACCTGAGTCAGTTTAAATGGAGACAGTGGACATTAGTTGAGATAATTAAAATCTGCAATTTGCAATCGCTCAATAACTTTTTCCACAGCTCAAAAGACTTGATTTGTAACATTTTATTTTCAACTGTTTAAGAAGTGTAAAAAAACTTTTATAACTCCTTACTTCCCCCATAGTATAAGTTTAGTTGTTCCCAACCTGTGCACCTCTCAGGGGCTACAAGGCCCCTGCAGAAAACTCATAGAGCTATAAACTTGTAAGACATTTGTTTTGGCCCTAGGGACACCCCCATAACAATCAATTCTAAAAAGGGTCTCAGCGATCATAACATTTGGGAACCACGGGTTTAAGACATCACAAAGATAATATAAGCAATTAATTTCTTTGTCCCTGGAAGCTTATACCAGTGGTTCTCAACCTTCCTAATGTCCCGACACTTTGATGCAGTTCATCATGTTGTGGTGACCCCCAACCATCAAATTATTTTTATCGCTACTTCATAAATATGTGTTTTTCTATGGTCTCAGGCGACCCCTGTGAAGGGTCATTCGACCCCTTTTGGGGTCGCATCGCATCCCACGGGTTGAGAACCGCTGGCCTAGACCATGAGGTTGGGACTGTTTTTTTTTGTTTTTTTTTTATTTCAGCTTTTAACGTGTTCATCTAGTTTAATTGTGTTCAGTAGTCTTGTGTTGTCTCTGTGGATCATAGCCCAATTATTTGGGATCACCTCAAACCATCTTCAGTTGAGTTAACCTGAATGGAATGTGATGTAATTGTTGTGATCTTCTGAAGCACATAAAACTCAAGCAGAAAACGTTTTCAGCATGTCTTTTTATTGTAGCACATTCTTTTATGTCACTTCAGTGTTGCCACTGGCCCCGACATGAAAAATGTGTCTATAATTTTTATTTTGAGCTGCTCTGTGTCGATTTCAAGTAGAAAATGTGTTTTTAGAAGTACAAACAATAAAAACTACAACTTCATGAATGCTAAGGAAACAGATAATAATCAAGTCAGGTAATTCAATTTCAACTGAACACATTTTTTGTGTGTGTTTACATTCATCTTTATAACTTGAATCTCAGCCAAGGTAATCGACCTTTCACCTTCAAGTTGAATCTGTTCAGTTTATTGTCAACGCATGCTCCAAAGGGAAGTAATAAGCTACATGACATCCTGCCACCAGAAAGTCTCTTTCTCTTTTTTTTTTTAATTTTTCTTTTTTAATGTAATGAAATTGTAATTCTTAACTTTTACTGTAATTTTGGATTCACTTTTCTCCGATCATCCCTGTCACCCGGCGCTTGTATTAGTGGAATGAGTTTTCATTATGATCGTTGAAAGTTAAGTCTCACATAAAGATATTTTAAAGATCTCAAACATTTTATAGTTTGAAGTGTAAGAGAAGAAACCACAAAGCAATTGATTGAACACTGTAAAGAGTTATGCAGATCACAGTTTTTGTTTGTGTTCAAAACGCAGTACAACAACTCAGTGGTAGCTTTAAACATGAATGCGTCATACACGTTTTAAAGATGTCTCATGGGAATCATTTAAATAACAGCCACCATGATTTCTCCGCAATCCATGTTTACATGAGATTGGCGATCAAAGAATTGACAGTTTTTAATAGGAACATTTATTGGTGGGTTAGATTTGACCTTATTTGTATATTAAAAGGCATTTGATTTTTTTGTTCAACATATAACGTCATTCCCGTCTGAATTAAATCCTGGAACAACGCAATAGGCAGCCAACTTCTGAATAAATGAGCTGTTAATATTCCTTTAAATTTGCCCCTCTGTTTTTAAAAAATATTTTTAAGTTGTTTGTAAATGCCTGATGAACAGATATCTTGTGTTGAACATTGATTTATATGCAGGCACATTTTTTTGTAGGTTTTTTTCCGTACAAAAAGAATGACAATGCAATACTTTAAGTTGCTAATTTTTACACACTTAAATTTAAACACTACTCTTTTTTTTAAAGCACCGTGCCAATGTTGACCTTGTTTATTTGTAATGCTTCTTGCTTTGATATTTATATTTAGTTGAAATACATGTCTTATGCTTGATGTGCAGCTAAATGCATTTTTGCATTTATACATTTTATTTAGATACAACTATGCCCCACTTGATTTTTATAAAAAAAAAAATAATTTTTTTTTGTGTAATCCATTTTATCTATTTTTTTC